TTCTTTTACTATTCCCTCCTTTATATGAGATCTCACTTTTGATAGGGCCCTGGCTGATTTGGGTGCAAGCATTAATTTGATGCCTTATATGCTTTATATGAAAAGCTTGCACTTGGTCCACTTAAATTAATAAGTATGTGCATTCAGTTGGCTGATCATTCAGTCAAATATCCCCAAGGGATTGTTGAAGACGTGTTGGTTAAAGTGGACAAATTTATATTTCCGGTGGACTTTGTTATTTCGGACATGGATCAGGATCGTGAGGTACCATTGATTTTGAGCAGACCATTCTTGGCAACTGCCCGAGCACTTATTGATGTTGGAGACGGTAAGTTTGTCCTCCGCGTTGGGTATGAGTCTGCCACCTTTGACATGTCCAAAATAATGAAGAGGCTCTGTCAGGATAGTGGAGAGTGTTTTTACATGGATGTAGTGGATTCTTTGGTGGAGGATTGCATTCCCAACATGCTTTCTGATGAAGCCTTCTTTGATCTTCTCTTGGATGGTAGTTTGTCTACAGAGGATCTTGAGCTCCTCCATAGTTTTGATTGTCTTATGATTGGTGGAGAGGAGGACTCAAGTGATGCTAGTGATGTGAAAGGGAAGAAAGATGACTTAGATAAAGTGGAGAAGGAAGATTTTCAAACTGATTCTTCTATTGTTACTCCTTCTCCATTAAATCTAAAGCTTTTTCCCTCCCACCTTAAGTATGTGTTTCTAGATGATAGTTCTGACCTCCCTGTTATTCTTGCATCCGGTCTTGAGCCATCCCAAAAATCTGCATGTCTTGATTTACTTAGTGAACAAAGGGAAGCTTTAGCCCTAAAACTTTTTGACGTGAGAGGAATCAGTCCTTCTTTCTACACTCATAAGATTTTGATGGAAGATAATGCTAAGCCGGTAGTGCAGCCACAAAGGAGACTGAATCCTAATATGCAGGAGGTGGTTAGGGAGGAAGTCATCCTTCTGTTTAGTGGTGGACTCGGGCCGGGTGGCCTGACCCGGAACCGCACTGTTTGGCACCGGCCCGACCCGACCAGTGGCCCGGCCAGGGACCGGTCCGGGTAGTCCTAGCCCGGGTGTATTCTGGTGCGGGCTCGGGTCACCCAATAGACGAACCGGCCCAGCCGGGTCGGGCCCAGTTCCGGGCTGTTTTTGTTTTTTGTTTTTTCAATTTTTTTTTTTAAATTCCCGAGTTTGGATGGGTATTTAGGGCCATTTGGGGTGGTTTGGGGGATTGGGGGGGTCAGGGGTTAAATAGAAAAACGAAAAAAAATTAGAATCTGGCCCGAGGCCTGACCCGGACCCGGGCCGGTTCCAGGCCTACCTCCAAACTCCTAAAGCCCGACCGGGCCTAGGCCCGGCCCGGCCTGAGTCCACCACTACGTCTGTTAGATGTAGGCATTATTTATCCGATTTCAGACAGCCCTTGGGTCTTGGAGTAAACAATAAAAAAATGCAGATAAATTTGTCCCTAGGCCTCTTTGTAATGTTCGTAACCCTTAAATATAATGGGAGAATGGAGGCCTTATTGATCATTGCCTCTTTTCATTGCCTCTCTCTCTTTGCCGACCTCCCCTATCTATTTCTCATGCTTTCTTTTTCTTCTTTTCTCTTTTCTTTTCTCGCCGTAGATCATCTTTGTACGAGAGGGTGGTTTTCTGTTTGGGTGTAGAGGAATGTATCTTTCGTAGGGTATAAATAGCCTAGGAGGAAGGTTTTAGTTCAACGCTCATAAGGTCAGAATCTTTGGCCTTAAATTCCATTTACAAGCTTTCCTTTGATAAATTTCATATAAAACTAATGATAAAAATAGGAGCTAGTATTGAGAGCTAGACCTTCATGTACCCTGCTGTACGTATAAGGAATGATACGTAACTTACACTTTTTTCAATGGTATGCATGCTACACATATATAAGTGATGTGCATAATGGAAAGAAATAATGCATGGGCCATGCATGGCATGCACCCATGTATACATGCTTACAAATAGGGAAACAATACACATGGTACGTGAATGATATGACATAAAATAAATAATCTCAATAATAAATAATCTCAATACTCCCCCTCAAGGTGGCGTGTGAAGGTTACGAACACCCAACTTGCTCCTGAGAAATTGGAAGTGATCACTACCGAGTGCTTTAGTGAAAATATCAGCAATTTGATGTGTTGTAGAGATACAACATGGTTGGATTTCACCGCCAGCCACACATTCACGAACAAAGTAGCAGTCCATTTCTACATGCTTGGTACGTTCATGAAAAACGAGGTTAAGTGCAATGTGTCGAGCTGCTTGATTATCACAGAAGAGGGAAGTAGGACCATTTTGAGGAATAGTTAGATCTCGAAGTAACCAACGTAACCATAAAATTTCACTAACTGTGATAGTCATGGCACGGTATTCTGCTTCTGCGGAAGAACGTGAAACAACAGACTGTTTCTTCGTCCTCCAAGAGACTGGAGAATTTCCAAGGGTGATAAAATATCCTGTGCTAGATCGGCGAGTATAAGAGCACCCTACCCAGTCAGCATCACAATAACCTTTTAAAGAGAAATTATTTTCTGTAGATAAGAAAATTCCTTGTCCTGGAGTCTGTTTTAAGTAGTGAAGGACACGTGTGGCAGCGTCGAAATGAGACTGGTGTGGTTGGCTTAGAAATTGACTAAGCTGACTAATAGAGAAGACAATGTCAGGACGAGTCACAGTAAGGTACAATAAGCGACCGATCAAGCGGCGATATGAGGAAGCGTCTACAGGAGGGCTATCATCATCAGGTCGAAGTTTTAAATTTTGTTCCATGGGAAACTGACTGGGACGACCAGCAAGGAGACCGCTTTCTTCTAGGATGTCAAGTGTATATTTGCGTTGACTTAGTACAAATCCCTCGGGAGAACGAGTGACCTCAATTCCGAGAAAATATTTTAACGTACCCAAGTCTTTGATGCTAAATCGGTCATCCAAGTAGCCCTTAATTTTGGTGATATGATATGCATCATTTCCGGCTAGAATGACATCATCTACATAGATGAGAGAGAATGTGCAATTCTCACCTTGTTGAAAAATGAACAAGGAATGATCTGCCTGAGATTGCCGAAATCCAACTTTCAAAAGTGATTGAGTAAATTTTTGGTACCAATTACGAGAAGCTTGCTTGGCGCAGGCCATAGAGTGATTTTTGTAATTTACAAACACGAGTGTCGCCATTTTTGCTAAATCCTTGTGGAACACGCATGTAAACATCTTCTGAAAGGTCTCCATGGAGAAAGGCATTATTGACGTCCAATTGATGTACTACCCAATTTCGTTTGGCAGCCATGGCCAAAAGACATTGTACTGTGACGAGTGTTGCAACGGGAGCAAAGGTATCATGAAAATCAATTCCTTCAACTTGTGTGAAGCCTTTGGCAACCAATCTTGCTTTGTAGCGCTCCACATCGCCGTTAGGTTTATATTTTATTTTATAAACCCATTTAGAGTCAACTGCTTTCTTTCCTGGCGGTAGTTGTACCAAGGTCCAGGTACCATTTTCTTCTAAAGCACGAATCTCCCATTGCATAGCCTCCCGCCACATTGGAACTAAAATGGACTGCAAAAATTGTTTTGGCTCGTCACGTGAAGTGATGGCCGTCAGAAAGGCTTTGTGTTCATTAGAAAACTTCTCATAACTAATAAAATTAGAGATTGGGTATACTACTGAGTCGGCTTGATTTGCAATTGACTGTGAATGGTCTAAAGATGGTGGTAGATAAACATCATATTCATTGAGGTGCTTAGGGAGTTGGCGAACTCTATTACCCTTTCTTAATTCATCCATGATTAAAGTTTGATCACTCATATCATGTGGGTCAACTCTCAAATGTGATTCCTGATTTTTGTCACCATTTATATGCTCACTGGGACCCGGCTCAAAATTGAGCTGCGTGGAATACATAGGAGGTGTGAAAGCCATATTATCTCTTCCATGTGCGTCCAACTGTGTATTTGGAGAGAGCTGCTGCCCGGTTGGTAAGAGTGGACTAGAGCCTGGCCCGCCATTTGCACCATCCTTGTTCGTGCATGTACTGCTTCGCGTTTCCAGCTGGTTTTCTGACCTGCAGACTGGAGCGCAGGCATCAAGTGGAAGAAAATGGGTTTCTGTATTTTGCTGGGGCCCACGCGTGTACTCTTCATCCTGCAATGGACTGGTGTGGTGGTTTGCCGGCGTATATGTACTGCCATGGCCCATTATTCTTTGACATACACGATCAATTATATCCCCAAAATCAAGCCCTTCTTGATTTATCATTTTAAATGGGAATTCATTTTCAATAAAGGTCACATCTCGAGAGTTATATATATTTTTCTTTTGCAAATCAAATACTCTATAAGCCTTCTGACCGTAGGGATACCCAAGAAATACACAAGGACTCCCCCTTTCGCCAAATTTGTCCTTGCGTTTGTTGTTGTGTGCATATACTAGACACCCAAAAACGCGTAGATGTTCATAGTAAGGTTCCTTCCCAAAAATTATCTCATAGGGGCTTTTGTTTAAAATAACGGGAGACGGTAGCCGATTGATAATATAAACTGCAGTAAGAATGCATTCCCCCCAAAAATCAATAGGCAATCCTGATTGAAAACGAAGAGCCCTAGCAACTTCCAATATATGTCTGTGCTTCCGCTCTACAACCCCATTTTGTTGGGGGTGTCTGTGCACGATGTTTCCAAAATAATTCCATAACGGGCATAATATTCAGATAAAAAATTGGTTTGAAATTCCATTCCGTTATCTGAACGTATCCGTTTAACTCTTTTCTCAAATTGAGTTTCTACCATAGTTGCAAAATTGTGTCAACTTTTGGCAAACTTTAGACTTATTTTTCATGAGGTAAACCCACACACCTCTAGAAAAATCATCAACAATGGATAAGAAATAGCGTGCTCCTGAAGTAGAGTCACATCTATAACATCCCCATATATCACAATGTATTAATTCGAAACAACAAGTAGTCTTACTTGTACTTTTGGGGAATGGTAGCCGACTTTGTTTAGCTCGTAAGCAAGGATCACAAAAGCTATTGCACTGTTGCAAACCTTTGAGAAATGAAATGTGTTGTAATTTTTCATTTGAGGCATGTCCCAGCCTTCGGTGCCATAAATCAGAATCAAGAGTGGCTCCCATTGCCACCCTTTCACCCCTAGGTAATTCTAGGTAATAAAGGCCATTATGAAATCCACCCTTGCCAATTAATTTTCTGGAGGGTAAATCCTGTAATATACAGAAGCTTGAGAAGAAAGTGAGGGTGCAATTCAACTCACTTGTGAGGCGACTGGCGGAGAGCAAGTTGCATTGGAACTGCGTAACATAAAGAACACGACGAAGATAAAACCCATTAGACAGGTACAAGCTACCAACGGCAGTGACTGGAACTAATTCCCCATTAGGAATTCTTACTCCTGGTTCGGATGAACGAGTAGAAATATTGAAAAGATTTACACTATCACATGTAATATGCTCACTTGCTCCAGAATCAATTATCCAGGTACGAGTGTGAGGTGATATTGTCATCACGTTGATATGAGAGGAAAGGGAAAAAATGAAATCTCAAAAGTAAGTATTGAAATATCCAGGTTTTGGCTCTGATACCATGATAAATTTCATATAAAACTAATGATAAAAATAGGAGCTAGTATTGAGAGAGCTAGACTTCATGTACGTATAAAGAATGATACGTAACTTACACTTTTTTCAATGGTATGCATGCTACACATATATAAGTGATGTGCATAATGGAAAGAAATAATGCATGGGTCATGCATGGCATGCACCCATGTATACATGCTTACAAATAGGGAAACAATGCACGTGAATGATATGACATAAAATAAATAATCTCAATAATAAATAATCTCAATATCCTTTGTTAAGTACAGCTTTCCATGTGTGTGGGGGTTACGTACGTTAATAGTACTGAGCATGCATAAACATACCCAATAATGTATTGGTATATTTCACCACTTTAATTAGGTTGAAAAATCAATTGTACCAACTTTGTGTGTATCGTATTTTTCTTTCTTTTGCCGACACTTCGGGATTAAAATTTGTGAAAAAGTCAATTTCAACACATTTTATCTGGTTAATAAAATTATCTATTTTATTTTATTTAAATTTTCGGTGTGTCACATTATTGTAACACTTGAGATTTAATATAAACGGATTAATAGTACTACTCATACCAGAGGTGCATCTCCTTTTAAGGGAGCTCATCACCCAAGAACTACAAAGTTAAGCGTGCTTGCACGGGAGTAGTCTTGGATGGGTGACCCCCTGGGAAGTTTCTCAGGGCGCGCACGAGTGAGGACAAAGTGTGCGCGGTAAAGGCTTGTGGTGGTTTGTGAGGACAGTACTAGAGGTCTGGAGTAACTATCTCGGGTCCTGCGGGGGCCGGGGTGTTACATCGACCGAGTGGTTCAGTATGGACAAAACACTATATATCATGTTACCTTTCATCTATGTTAATGATTGGGTATGAAGATGTCATATGATACAAAGGATACATTGCTACGCTAGACGGCTCATCTCGGTTATGGTACAATATTATACATTGCTTGACGGAAGCATGGCATATATGGCCACGCATTTCCTCCTGAGGGTTTCTAACTCTCAGGATGTTAAGAAGAATTGTAGCCATCTGTTCAACCTGAAGCAGGAAAGAAGGAAGCTTTGTCAGGTTTTTGAAAAGGTGGAGAACCGAGTCCATTAGGGTTCAAGTCCTTGACAATAAGACCATAGTGACCATGTTGATCAATTTCATCTTCTCAGGTGAGCTCCATAAGGATTTCTTAGGAAATCCACCCAATATGTACGAGGATTCCTTAGCCACTAAGCTATTTATGACGATGGGCGGAGATATGGCATACTTACGACAAACCTTTATGAAAGTTTTAATAATGTATTAAAGGAATGTCACACTTTACCTATCACCTCACTCATAACCGTGATCTCTTTGTGGATCGACATAACATTGGACTTATGTGGCAGCAAACTAGATTCTTATATCCACAAAACATTTGGAAGGAGGTTCTAAAGCGGTCTCTACGTAGGAAACACAATAATGTTATCGTGCACAACCGGATTTAGTGTTGTGGCCTTACGTGGACATGAACCAGTCAAGGTGGAACTGTTGCATTGCGAATGTGACCACTATAAGCAGAATGATATGTCATGTGTTCACGCATATCCATTTGTCATTTCATCGGAACGTACGCTACAAATATTATTCTGACTCATGATGTTAGTGTCATGCCAGATAATGTCTACATATGACATATCTAGTTTTTGTGGTGGACTGTAGATTCGCTCCAAGTGGTGGACTGCAAAGAACAAGATATCAAAATGAAATGGTTTTGCATCGAATGAGGAGAGAGCAAGAGTAGTTATTTCTGTTTGAATTAATAATATGTGTTTTACTTTTATCTGTATTAGATTTGTCTACTTAAAGTTTATATTGCCATTCATATTTACATATTGGGCCTTTAATCAGAAATAATTTAATTAGATAAAATTCAATCAGATAATATTTTTGTAGTTAAAATGTAATTCGATAATATTCGATCTGATAAAATTTAATCAAATGAAATTTAATAACATAAAATTTTAATTAGATACTCTCTTGGTCCCATTATAGGATTCCCACTATCCTTTTTGGGGCGTCCCATTTAAAAGTTCTAATTTTTATTTTAGAAAACAATTAATAATCGTAAATGACAATTTAATCGTCAAGTATTAAAAATAATACATCTATACATCACAATTATCATCAATGACCATATTATATTATATAACCATCACATTTTTTTGTCAAAATATACTCAAATTACCATATTTAATTGTTATCTATTAAATGTGTCATTTTGCAATGAGAACCTTTAAACCAGACGATGATAGTGATATTTAATAGATAAAATTTAAACAAATATAATTTAATGAAATAAAATATAATCAGAAAATATTTAATGTGATAAAATTTAATGAGAAAATTCAATCAGATACTTTGTAATATTTAATGAGATAAAACTTAGAGCCCATTTGGTAATACCAAAATAGGTTGAATTAGCTGATTTTGCTGAAATTTATGAAACTCTGGCTGAAATGGCTGCATTGGCTGATTCTGTTGATTTATGAAAAAGTTATATTTATAATATATTTTATGAATAAAATAAAGAAAAAATTATATATAAAATTAGCTAAATTGGTCCTTTATAGTAACTTCAGCCAATACAGTTACAAAACTATTTCCAACCTTACTTTTTCTTATTATTACACAATTCAGTGTGTGAGATTAAAAGTTATGTGTTTGGTAAAAAAACTGACAAATAAGTCCGATAAGCTGAAAACTAGGCTTACCAAAGTGGCTCTTATTGACATTAGGGAGCAGCCTGCTGGTGAAATGATACCCATCTTAATTGCATCGACCCAACTAACTTGCCAGACGCCATTTGGAAAGCCTCATTTGGAAAAGTAAAATGGACCATTTCGGACTTCTGGTGGGATCCAGAGCCTCTCCTTTACTTTAAAGCAAGGCAGAGTGCCCGACTCTTACGAGCCGTTCGGTCATGAATTCGACGTCCGAAGATCTTGGGCTCCACCCCTTCGCTGATCTCAAGGTCCTCCTCATCGCCTCCCTTCCGTCGGATGCCGCAAGGCACTCTGCCTTATGGCAGCGGATCCGGTTCCATTCCGGTGAGCCCTTTAAATCCCACAAACATGGACAATGAAACATCAATTCAAAAAGGGCAATTCTATACGAGAAAATCGTAAAAATGGTACATGAAGTTGTTTCGACGAGAGTAAATAGTACTTTATCTTGCATTTGAAACTTTAAAGTACATCAACTTGTATTTTTGTAGTCGATCAAGTACATTTTTCTGTTAGAACGTTAAAATAGCTGATCTGGCCAAACTACATGTTTGTATTATATAGTTGTAGTCTAAGTCATCCCTTCTCTGTGCTTTACATCTTATATTTTTCCCTTCTACTCTCTCTACTATCCCGCCAACTCCTTTTTGCTCTGTTTTATTTTATTCTTCTTCTCTTGATATAATAAAGATGGACTAATAGCAAATAAAAGAAGAAGCCGACAAGATAGCAATGAGAGCTGACGAGAGAGAAGGAGAGCAACATGGGTGGAGCTAGAGGGGGGAGGTCAATCTAGGTTTTGGTCCATCCCAAATTTAAAAAAAAAAATAAAGTAAAAATTCTGTGTAATTTTCTTTGTAAAAAGTTCTTGGGAAAATGGAAACTAATAATCCAACCTTTTAGTGGTCTTCTTTTAATAGTCCGACCTTTTCGTTATTCATGAATAATCCAACCTTTGCACCTCATCTTCATTCATTGGTCCTCGACCGGTTGATGACCTGCTATTCCGAGTTATTTTCTTATCTCTGCAAACTATTATACCATAAATTTCACCTTTCACAAAGATAATATTTTGCAAAGATAAGAAAATAACTAGGAATAGCAGGTCATCAACCGGTCAGGGACCAGTGAATGAAGATGAGGTGCAAAGGTTGGATTATTCATGAATAACGAAAAGGTGGGACTATTAAAAGAAGACCGCTAAAAGGTTGGATTATTAGTTTCCATTTTCCCAAAGTTCTTTGTACTAGTCCAGTCCGGCCGGCCTAGTTCTCTGGCCCCGTCTTGGGAAAGCAGACAAGAGAAATATAAAATGAAGAGTGGAGAGAATGGAAAACAAACATGAGAAATACATGGTCTAAGATAAAGAGCGAAGATGGAAACGAGTGGACTGAAGGAGATTAGAGTTTATAGCTTTATTATTTAGAAATAATTACATAAATATGACCAAAATAAAGATGATTTACAAAAGTATGATTAGTGACTAGAGTAGTAATGAAATCATAGTAATTCATGTTCAAGTTTTGAGCTTTAATTACCATAACACTACATTGTAGTAATGAATAGTTATATTTATGTAAATATGTTTTATTTTAGTAATATTCTTGTAAAAAACTCATTTATTTAATGGCTTAGACTGCAACAATATATTACAAACCTATAGTTTGGTCAGATCAGCTATTCTAACGTTCTAACCAAGCTAATGTACTTAATAAACCTTAAAAGTGCACGTTCATGTACTACTTCCTCCGTTCTCTTTTAATTGCAATAGTCAACATTTCAGGTTTGCCAACGCACAAGTTTGACCATTAATATCTTTCATTCCTTATTAGTAAAAATTTAAAAAATTCAGATTTTGAAAATTTAGAATGAGAAGAATTAAAAAATTATTTTTAAAACTTTAATTTATAATACATTAATAAATAAAATATAGTCAAAATAGAATATGTGAATAGTACAAAAAGTTCAATGTTGCAATTAAAATAAAGATGTAGTATAATATACAGGCACTCCCCTTTTTTCGCAGATCAGTAGAAGACCAGTTGTCGGACTGAATTGAAAGCAGCTCCCCTGAGAAGGGGACTAAGAAGTTCTCTAACAAGCAAGTAAGCCTCTACCTGGCTCATTCTCTCCAGTTACCTAGCCGTTCTGTCTCTCTGTCTTCTATATTCTACGAAATTGCCTCATAGTTTCTTCCCATTGAACTGGAACATGTATTTCTTGAATTGAAATAGGTAGGGGTTTATAGTAATTTAGAAAAGGGGTGGATTGAAGTCAATCCTTCCTCGGAAGTCAAACAAGAAAATTCCCTGCCCCGTTCTCTTCATAAGCCAATTCAGCAGTATTTGCTTCATGAACCTTATGGGAAAAAATGACTAGAAAGTTTGCTTATAGTTGTTTCTTTATGAACCTAATGGAGAAAAAATGCCAGAAAGCTTAAGCTACGATTTACTTCCCTCTTTGAGTGTTTAATCAGATTGTTGCACATGGGAAAGTTTGCCAGAAAGTTTGGTTACAGCTGACTGTGGGTATTGTTCCAAGTCAAGAAGAACTGCCCTCCCAATTTATAATGGCAGTATTCAAGGGAGTAAATAGCAGTTTTCTTGCTATTTCCAGTTGGTAGTAGTAAAGTGTTTGTAGTATACTCATGTTTAGAACTCCATGTCTTTGAACTACCTGATGTGTTCAAAACTAAGTAGTCCGTATTTCATATTCTTTGTTTTCTTCCAGTATAACTACAATAGATTTAAGGAACTTCTTTTAAGGTATTGATCAATACTTAAAAGTTTGTTTTTACTACATCAATTTCAACTCAGCAGGTATTGATAGTAGCTCAATTATTATAAGAAAGTTAAGCATTTAGGCACTCAAAGTAAGTATTTACTGGAAAAAAAATTAAGCACTTAGGCACTCAAAGTAAGCATAAGATAGAGTAGACAATTTTCAAACATATTAAAACCAAAATAAAATTTTAGTTTTTTTTAAAGAAAATAATAATATAAAATACTTAGTTTTCAATAGTAAATCCCATATAATATATTATCATATTTGAGCTACTATCAATACTTTAATTTCTATGTTTTTTGTTTTTTTTCTTTAACAATTTTTGGATATTCTTTGTCTTTTAAGTATTGATCAATACTTAAAAGTTTGTCATCCTTACTTTCTATGTTTTTGTTTTCTTTCTTTAACTAAAATTTCAGGAAATGATATATTTGAGGTAGTATCATTTTTTTCATATATGAATTTTGAACATGCATATAATCATTTGAAAATTTGTTGACCCAGTAATCACACCTTCACAAATTGATGGTTCTAAACAGTGATTTCCCTTAAAAGAAAAAAAACTAACTTTCTGGGAAATGCTTTGAGAAGTGTTTCTTATTCTCATATTCCTTTTTTATTCTTTTACAAACAAGTGTACAGAATGACAAGTCATTTAAAGATGCAGTAACATTCCTTAGTTGAGTGCAAAATAGGAGTGCACATAGCTGCAAATAATGTAAGAGCAAAACTTAAAAAGAAACTTGCAGAACTTAGTGCCAATGTGTTTCATATGAGTAACCCTTGGGCTACATTGGAATTTCATGCAACTAACTACTACATAAGAATACATACAAACTCAGCTATAATTAATACTCCCTCCGTCCCATAAAATTCTTTCCACATTGACTTGGCACGCATATTATAGAGGTGAGAGTAAAGTGGAAATGAATGGTTGTAGTTGTGTAAGAAAAAGGTAAAATGAATGTGAGCCACACAAATTGTCCAAAAATGGTAAGTGGGAACTGGGAAGGATTTTTTGGGACGGTCCGAAAAGGAAAATTGGAAGAATCTTTTGGGACGGAGGGAGTAGTCTTCTTTTTCTATAACTCATGTCAACTAATCCCCATGGCATGTACATACAAATATTCTCCTTTAGGTGCCTCTACGCACCTACTTCTCAGGCTGTTTTGTGCAACTCTTCTTTGCAAAAACATGGAGGTAGACTTACTCTTCCCTTGATATGCATCATATTCCCTCTGTCCCTGGATCAGAGATGTACACTTTTGGTTCCTCAAGTAAATGCTTAAATTAGTTCATTAGTTATAGGCCAACAGATGACTATAAAGTAAATTTGCATTTAAACATAAATTCTTTCATCAAGTAATAGGATTTCTAAATAGAGATTTACATGGTTAATTTAGTTTGGTTCCTCAAGTATATGCATCATAATCCCTCTGTCCCCAAATCAGAGATGTACACTTTTGGTTCCTCAAGCAAATGCTTAATTTAGATTGATGCAAGGTAGTCAAAGTCGTGAGGCGCACTCAAGGCAATAGGGTAATTCCAGCGCCTGAGGCGCAAGGCGCTAAAAAACGCTCGCCTGACTCATGCCAGGCGCATTGCTCAGAAAATATTGCAAATACTATTCTCCAATAATATTTACAAATACTATTTTCATAATAGTATTTGCAATATTATTGGTTCCATGCGTTTCTGCGTTTGAGGTTTGCGTTATGCTTCCCTGGTCTTCTAGTTGAATTTCGAGTAACAAGGATAAAGTCGATGATAAGAACTGAAATACTCTGAAAATTTTATTGAAAGAAAATTACTGAATCCTGGAACACAATGATCAGGAAGATTATTTGTTGAAAGAGAAAAACAAGTTGGAAGCCTTTCGAGAGGGCCCCTCTCTCCAAAACCAGTCTATCCAAATTTCCCCAATGCCTATTCTCCTCCCTTGGTTCCCGTTTTATTCCCCAATCTGCCGACCCAGCTCCCCCCATTAATTATGCTTTTACTCCTTTGCCCTTTTATTTCTCCTACTATAAACTCTGGAAAAATCCCTTTCATTATTAATATCTAAATGGGCTGGGTTCTCATCACTACCCCTCCCTTCAAAATTCACCTTGTCCCCAAGGTGAAAATTGGGAAACAATGATTGAAACTCAGACAACTCTTCCCAGGAATCTTCAAAACTAGGCAAATCCTTCCAATGAACTAATATCTCCTTACTCCCATTGATAGACTCTCTAGCAGCCAACACTTCTTCAGGTTCTGTTTGAAGTTCCCACTCCTCCGTTAAGCATCCAGGTAGAGGTTGAGTAGGAATGTTAGGAACCACAGTTTTCTTCAACAAAGAAACATGAAACACCGGGTGTACCTTACAACCATCTGGCAGTTTTAACTTGTAAGCCACTGGATTTATTTTTTCAATGACTTCAAAAGGGCCATAAAATCTTGGGCTTAGCTTCTGGTTCAGCCTTTTTGCCAGACTTTTCATTTTGTATGGTTGTATTTTGAGAAACACCCTATCTCCAACTTCTAACTGAACATCCCTTCTATTTTTATCCGCCTGTTGCTTCATTCTATTTTGAGCCATGGCTAGATTTTGCTTCAACTCCTTGATCATTTCATTTTTTTCTGCTGTGAGTTTGGTTACTTCTTCAACTGCTGTCCTTGTAGCATCTCCCAAGATTAAAGTTGGAGGCTCATGGCCATATAAGGCTTTGAAAGGAGAAGTCTGCAGTGAGGCGTGATAATTGGTATTATACCAAAACTCAGCCCAAGGTAACCATTGGGGCCATTTCTTAGGTCTGTTACCAGTGATACACCTCAGATACGTTTCCAGACAACGATTAACCACTTCAGTCTGCCCATCCGTTTGAGGGTGATAGGCGGTACTGTATTTTAGTTTGGTACCTGCAAGTTTAAAAAGTTCAGCCCAAAATGAACTCAAAAATAGACTATCACGATCTGATACGATGGTCCTGGGAAACCCATGCAGCTTCACCACCTCCTGAATAAACAACTCAGCCACACTCTTAGCCGTATAAGGATGGCCCAATGCCAAAAAATGGGCATATTTGGTTAGCCTGTCAACCACCACTAGTATGGTGTCCCTACCCATCGTTCTAGGTAATCCTCCAATGAAATCAAGGCTAATATCAGTCCAAATATGATCTGGAATCGGCAAAGGTTGCAGTAGCCCAGCAGGACTTAGAGCCTGGTACTTGTTCCTTTGGCATACCTCACAACTCTTCACATAATCTTGGATATCTTGCCTCATCCCCTCCCAGTACAGCACACTAGATATTCTTTTCAAAGTTCTGAGGTACCCTGCATGTCCTCCACAAGCTGAGTCATGGAATTCTTTCAGCACTTGATTGATTCTCGCAGATTTCTTGGGCAACATGAGTCTATCTTTGTAGTAGATTAACCCTTTTCTCAATTTAAAACCTGGTTGAGATTCTGGTTGTGACACCAGGTTCTGAATTAATTGATTGCACCTGGTATCCTGCAACAATTCCTCCTCTAATCCCTGCCATTCCTGGAAACTCACCACTGAAAGAGCCTGATAGCTAGCCTTCCTAGACAGTGCATCCGCGGCCCTATTCTCCAAACCCGGTTTATATTTAATGCTGAAATTGTATCCCAACAGCTTTGTGATCCACTTTTGTTGCTCCTCACCCATTAACCGTTGCTCCATTAGAAATTTCAAACTTTTCTGGTCGGTGTGGACTTCAAAACTCCGGCCCATTAGGTATGGTCTCCATTTTTGCACGGCCATCACGATTGCTAGCAGCTCCCGTTCATATACTGACTTATTTTGGTTTCTATTGGATAGTACTCTACTCATATAAGCAATAGGTCTGCCTTCCTGCATCAAAACAGCCCCTATCCCCTGCCCAGAAGCATCAGTCTCAATTATGAACATTTTGTTGAAGTCGGGATTAGCTAACACAGGTACCGTAGTCATGGCTACCTTCAATTCGTCGAATGCACTGGTGGCCTCACGTGTCCATTTAAAGCCATCCTTTTTTAACAAATCGGTGAGAGGCTTTGCTATTCTACTATATCCTTTTACAAACCTTCTGTAATAGCCTGTTAGCCCCAGAAATCCCCGGAGTCCTTTCACATCTTGAGGCCTTTTCCAGTTGAGCATGTCTTGGATCTTACTGGGATCAGCAGAGACCCCAATACCTGATATGATATGTCCCAAGTAAGCAAGCTCTTTTTGCCCAAAGTAGCATTTTTTTCTGTTAACCACCAACTGGTTCTCTTGAAGCACTTTCAGCACCTTCCCTAAATGTTCCCGGTGTTCTTCCACGTTTCTGCTATACACCAGTATATCGTCAAAGAAAACAAGGACAAATTTCCTCAAATACGGCTTCAAAATGTGGTTCATCAGAGCCTGGAAAGTAGAGGGAGCGTTGGTTAACCCAAACGGCATGACGACATACTCATAATGTCCTTCATGGGTTCGAATGGCAGTTTTAGGGATGTCACTTTCCTTCATCTGAATTTGATGGTACCCGGATTTCAGATCCAACTTGGAAAATACCTGAGCCTCCCCCAATTCATCTAACAGTTCTTCAATGATAGGAATAGGAAACTTGTCAGGAATTGTAATTTTGTTAAGGGCCCTGTAATCTCCACAAATTCTCCAACCTCCTTCCTTCTTCTTAACCATAATGACTGGACTGCTGTATGGGCTCGTACTAGGTCTGAGAACTCCACTGTTCAACATTTCCTGCACCAATTTTTCTATCTCATCTTTTTGATAATGAGGATATCGATATGGCCGGGAATTTGGAATCAATGCTCCTTCTTTGATGTTTATGGCATGGTCACATGCTCTTTTAGGTGGTAAACCTGCCTGCTTCTGAAAAACTTTTGGGAATTCTCTTATTAGCTCCTCCCAATCCTTCTCCGTTTCTGGATCTGGCTTGCTGGAATCAGCTACCTCATAATGAATGGCATACCCTTCTCCTTCGTGTTGCAAAGTCTGTAGGACAGATTTCCATGATGCCTTTGTTCTGTTTAACTCAAAACCTCCCTTGAGCATCTTATCTTCCCCTTTTTCCTTCCATTTGATGGATAAATCACTGAAATTTATCTGTACCTCACCCAGACTTGCCAACCATGCAATTCCCAACACCAAATCAGTACCTCCTAGTTCCAAGAGATAGAAATCTTGAGTAATACACTCCCCTTGCACCCAAATTTGGAGCTGTTCACATTTTCCTGTATTAACCACATGATCTCCATTTCCCAATTCGACCTTGAACCCAGTGTTGACATTGTAATTCAGCCCCATCTCATCAACCAATCTCTGAGAAATGAAGTTGTGGGTAGCACCTGAATCAATGAGGATTACGATTGATTTGCGTTTGCTCGTATTCCTTATTTGTCCCCTGACTGTAAAAGTTTTATAAGTATTGATTCCTTCCTTACTTAAAATCGATAGTTGCATATCGTTGTGTTCTCCTGTGTCAGCCTCAATCTCCCCTGTTTCCAACACCTGCGGTTCACCTTCCTCGTTTTCTTCTACTGACTCTACCCACATTAACTGGTAGTTTTTCATTTTGCACATGTGTTCTTTACTCCATTTGTCCCCACATTTAAAACATAGTCCTCTTCTAGATCTATCTTGTATTTCAGCTTGAGACAGTCTTGGTCCTCCCTTCCATTGTTTATTCAACCCGCTAGAATGTTCATGTTGAACTTCTGAATGGTCCCTCTCCAGCATAGGAATTTTTGGTGTGACAAATTTTCCTATATTTCCTTCCGCACTGTACTGACCTTTGGATGAATTCATTCCCGTACTTATCCACCCTCGTCGGTCTATTTCCTTATTCTTTCCCCCTTTTGATGTCAGGTTTTTCTGTTCTACAAGCTGGGCGGTGTCCATAAGATCAGTTATCCCCGTGGTCCGGTGCAACTTCAGCTCTGAACTAATTTCTTCTTTGAGGCCATTGAAAAATACTCCTTTTAGCATCTCTGGGTCAGCAATTTTGATGGGAGCTACAACCTTTTCGAAGTGATCCCTGTACTCCATGACTGAATTAGTTTGCTTAATTTTGAGCATAGGGCCAAACGGGTTCTGAACTAATTCCAGCTGGAAACGTCGGATCAATGCTTCCTTAAAATTTCCCCAGGAATAGTCATCAGTTTGTTCATCCCACCATTGATACCAGTTCAGAGCCCTGTCGGTCATGGCCATCAGGACAACTTCCACTTTATCACTCTCGGATACTTGATTTAGTTTAAAATAGCGTTCCACCCTGATAAGCCATCCGTAAGCATCGTTCCCACTAAAAAGCGGTAAATCCACCTTTCGTCCCGTATATACTCGATCGTTAATTCCCGTCGGTTCAGGGGTACGAGAAGAGGATCGAGAACCCTGAGAAATACTTCCTGACTTGGACGAACTCACGCTGGCATAAGGTTGTCGCCGTCGATGGGTGGGTGACCGTCCTCTTCTTCTCCTGTGATGGCCCTGAACTTCGAAGCTTTGCATCTTGTCCAGCAACAACTGCACTTTCTCGTCCATCAATGCTCTCATCTCTGCTCGGATCTCTTCCTTGGAAATCTCTACAGATCGCTCCAAACTTTCAAGTCGTTGTTCCATGTTTGATCGAGTGAATACCATACACAGGTACAGTGATCGTGCTCTGATACCAAATGATAAGAACTGAAATACTCTGAAAATTTTATTGAAAGAAAATTACTGAATCCTGGAACACAATGATCAGGAAGATTATTTGTTGAAAGAGAAAAACAAGTTGGAAGCCTTTCGAGAGGGCCCCTCTCTCCAAAACCAGTCTATCCAAATTTCCCCAATGCCTATTCTCCTCCCTTGGTTCCCGTTTTATTCCCCAATCTGCCGACCCAGCTCCCCCCATTAATTATGCTTTTACTCCTTTGCCCTTTTATTTCTCCTACTATAAACTCTGGAAAAATCCCTTTCATTATTAATATCTAAATGGGCTGGGTTCTCATCAGTCGATCACTTAAACGGTCGTTATGCAGCAGGAAGGGTAATGATAGAGATCAAGGAAGGCAACAGCCTACTCTTAAGGATAGCAGTACCTATTATGAGAAAGTCTATAATAAAAAGGGAATGGAGACTAATAATAAATAATTAGATTGTGAATGGGAGCGGGGGTTGGCTATTATAAGGCTTTGTTTGCAACCACTTGAGAAAAGTGATTTGGGCTTTTTTTTAAGAAAAAAGCACTTATTTTACCAAACACTACCAACTTTTACTTTCTCGGCTTCCGTGTTGAATCTACTTTTTACTTTTTCTATTACACAAAAAGCACTTATTTTACCAAACACTACCAACTTTTACTACTATTCCCTTTTTATCAAAAAGTGCTTTTATTTAAGCACAAGTGGTTGCAAACAAAGCCTAAATAGGAGGTGTTATGTTTAGTGAAGCAGGCTGGTATTATCTTGGACTTTGGGACTTGGGAGCTGGCATTCTCTAACTGCCTTTGTACCTTATCTTTCTCTACTGTTAATTCATGTTCCCCAATTGCTTAATTCTCCATTGTAGTCTACTCTCAAACCCCTGAAAGTTACCATAATTAGGCCTGAACCTATCATTGGTATCAGAGCGTGGTTTCTGTCGCCTGTCAATGGTCGCTACTCAAAGAACGATGGAAAGTAAGCTGCAGAGTTTGCAGCGCAATGGGAACTTAACCGCGAGGAGATGCAGAACTTTCATGATGAAGTGCGGAAGACTCACAATGAAGTGTGGAAGACTCGCAACGAAGTGCGGAATGGCTTCGCAAGGCTGCACGAATTGATCTTGCAGGTTTTATCGCAGGTTTCTTCGCAGTTTCTTTCACCTGCTCTCAGTTCGTGTCAAAGTGCGACTCGATAGATAAAAGAATTTCCCAGTCCGCAGTTGCGAACAGTTCCTCCAAGATCGCAGGATTCCTCACTCGCCGATCTTTACTGTTCACCGTCTTCATCACAAGCAGTTTCTCTCAAACTCTCGCAGGATTCCTCGCCATCATTTTTGTCCAGTTCACAAGCTTCATCCGGAGCAGATGTTTCCCGTCTCAGACTTCTTCGCGAGTCTATTCTTCACCGCCCAGGGCAGATGTTGAATGCGATGAGAATTCGTCAGTTGCAGCTGGACCTGAAGCTAGCGCAATTGCTTGTTTTCTCAAGAACGAGCCCGTCAAGTCAGACTCTGGAACCAATATATCAAGATCCTTCAGGATCTCATTCAAGATCCTTTCACAGATGCAGTAACCGAAGGGGGAAAAGTTATGGGCCTGCCAACAATTGGTATTCTTGTGCTAGATGGAGGTTTAGGTCTTAACATGTAGTTTCATATGACAAGTATTGGTCCACGGCTCATGATACTAAAGAAAAGAGACAAGGACCGGGAAGGTGACAGTGTGTTGAGCACAATTTTTATTCGGAGATGGATGGAGAAGTGCATTGATATTGTTGAAAGGCAGAACCAGCTTTTGATTCTTGATGTTAAAGGGTGCAAATTGGTACCTTCTGCCAAGTATGCATTAATCAGCACACCTCTGCATTTTACCATGGATGTTAGTCACTTCTTCCTTTACTCGGTGTTGCAGGGGTATAAGTGTAACATAATTGAAAGTGGTGTGTGTGTATTCGCTATCGAGGGTGTGCGACTGGATTTTGTCTCAAAAACAAGGCTTCAGATGACATGAGATTCAGTACCACTGAAGTTTTCAGTGTTAGACAATCAATTTGTATGAATATAATTGATGTTGATGAGGACTCTCGTCAACTAACAATGTCCTGGCAGCAATCATTATGCGTTACAACTAGGTTTCATTTAGTCAAGGGCGTTTTCTTTCAGAATACATGATTGTCAAGCTTCTACCATGGAATTTCCCAGATCTTGCATTGAGATGGGCTTGAGAAGTTTGCTACGGGTAACATTGTAGAGGGAAAAATTGATGAAATAAAGGAGTTAGGGTTGTTGTCAAATTTAAGAACCATGGACTCCATGGCGACGTAGCTAGCTTTATTTCAGAATACCAGTGATGCCTCCAAGATAGAATACCTCATGGAATTATCTTTAAAATCAGAAATTGTTCGTAAACAAGTAGTTGTTGTTTTCGGTAATGCAGCAGGTTGTGCTTTATCCTCCCCAGATTCTGAAGGAATCCAGCTCGCTGCTAAGAGACTTAGATACATCTGTCCTTTTGAAATGATATACATGGGATAGGTTAACAGAGGTTAACAGAGGAATACATATATTGTCGTGTGAATTGTTTCATTGGCTTGTATAAAAGCTTCGTGTCTGATGGGATCCTTGTAAATATCTCGAGGAGTTACTAGACAAGGATTTCAGATCAGAGGCAGTTGAGCCTGCTCTATTTTGTTCTGGGTTTCCCAATGAATTTTATGTTAAAACACAGTTAAAAGTTGGGATAGGGTTTTCTCATATTTGGACAAAATCGAGATTAAGGGGTGTTTGGGACAGATTCTGCTTCTGCTTCTTTTTTAAAGCAGAAGCAGAATCTGTTTTCAGAAGTTGGGGGAGACCAGCTTCTAAAAAAACTGATTCTAAGAATAAATTAGAGCACCTGAATCACTTCTCCACTTTCACCCAAACACTTCAACTTCTTCTTCTGCTCCTTGAGAATCAGATCCAAACACCCCCAAGTCTCTTGACCAGAGGTTAGAACCAAAGCAATGGTTACAACAAGAGATGTAGTGGCTGGGAGTTTTTAAACTCTACAACATCCTGGAGCAGTATGCCGCCGGACCTTTTCTTTTGCTCTTTCTTGTTGTGGAAGAATTGAGGATGAAGGTCCAAATCATGAACCTCACGGTCCAGAAAGGAAGGGAGAGGCGCAATGATGAAGATGTGGTGAGGGAGTGATGATAGAGATCAAGGAAGGCAACAACCTACTCTTAAGGAGCAATACCTATTATAAGAAAGTCTAAAATAGAAAGGGAAAGGAGACTTATAATAAATAATTAGGTTGTTTGTATATGGGAGAGGGGGTTGGCTATTATAAATAGGAGGTGTTATGTTTAGTGGAGCAGGCTAGCATTAGGCCTAATTGGGAAAGATGAATTAACACACCTATTTATAATAGCCAACCCCTGATCCCATATACAAACAATCTCATTACTTATTATTAGTCTCCTTTCCCTTTCTATTTTAGACTTTCTCATAATAGGTAGTACGATCCTTAATAGGCTGTTGCCTTCCTTGATCTCTATCAGGTAATTTAGATATTAGATTTATTTTTTATTATTCATATTTAATTTAGTGGCTGTATTTAGTAAGAAAGGGGATGTGAATAGAATTTTCCATTCAAAAGTACATCCATTCTCTTCGTTTCATCTCATCTTAGGTTAGATTCTTCTGTTTTTTTTATTTAAAAATAGAATTTAAAATTACACTTCGAAATTATAGTGTTAGGATATTTTTACTTGGACTGTAATTTGCTGGTCTAGTCTTATCTGGTCTGATCTGTTTAAGTTTGATCTGGTCTAATCTGAATTGGTCTGGTAAATATTTGGTCTTATTGTATTTATAACTAAAGAAATCTGGTCTGGTCTGTTTAAGTCTATTTGGATTGGTCAAGTCTAGGATTGAAAACAGTTCAAATAAAAGCATTCTTATACTACAAAAGTATAGTAATGTTACTCTCTTAGTCCCATTTTGTAAGACACTTTTCTTATTCACTTGGTCAACACAAATCACTCATAATCTCTTACTTTATATATCAAATTTTTATCAAATTTGATTCTGATTTTGCAACTTTGTAAAGCTTTTATTATAGTTTCTGAATAAGTAATTTTTTTCTAAAAATAATTTGAGTGCAGACAGAGATATGTTTGCTTAATCTTCAGTCAAACATCGTAAATCGTAAAGTGTCTTACAATTCCGGACAGAGGGAGTAGTAAATATTTATATCAATGGTACGTTTATATTAAGTATTAGTAAATATGTGTAAAATATATAGTAATATATTTATCATATTTATATGTATCATATACACAATTTTAGCATAATATATTTTATACTGGTATTCCTAGCATTTTCTTTTATAAGAAAACCGCCAATACGCCAGAATCCAAACAGCCTCATTAAGTTAAGGATAAAATTCTGTCAACTATTAGAATTATACGCAGTAGTAAATTAATATCCTACAAAAATAACTTATTTGTTACTAAATGTAATCTATGAATATTTATTCTATTTGTAAAGCAGTCTTATAAATAATCTTATAAAGTTAGTTTATAAAGTAAATTTGTTAATAAAAGTAAATTTAGTAATGTAAGTGTGTGAATATAGACTAATTCATACGAAATTAGTCTTATATTACTGTTAATAATGATAGTATAAGGTTACTAAATTTGTTTATAAATTTGTTAGTTTCTTTCATTAGTTTCTTTCACCTATTATTATTTGAGTAAATTTCTTTCACCTATTCGTAGTAGTATTTTTAGATGGAATTTAGTATTTCAGATGGAATTTCGAGTGAATTTATTAATTTATATTGAATTTAGATGAAAATTTGTATTATATATTTTGTATAAATTAAGTCTATAAATAATTACTTCATCTGACAAAAAGATGATATTTTGTTATACGTTCAAAATGCATTACCCCGATACGCATGCCAGAAGACACTCCACAAGTTACGACACATCATGTTAGTGACTCCCGCAATTTCTCAGCTCCCTCGGAGTTATCACCCCCCCCCCCCCCCCCCCAAATTGGCAGAGAAAGGGTGACTGACTGGTACCGTAACTGGTACACGCGGGTGTTGAATAGACGTGTCAGCATCCCTACGTACACTGCGTCTGGGACAAGCTACATCTCCGGAGCACGCGAGATGAGTCTTGTGGTAAGTTTTTTATAACACCGTATTCAATGAGAAATTTTATTTCCAACAAAATATTTATACCAATACTTTTTCATGCAGATGAAATGCCTTCACGATGTATATCAGCTCGCCGATAAAGCTGGTAATGTGCATATTAAAGACCGGATAAAACAATGTGGTATAGCTATAAATGCAGAAGAGGTGCTGTACGAGGGCGTCTTCACTTACCCTGATGCACACGATGACCCCAGTCCCCGTCCTCCTCTTAGGCAAGACCTCCGAAGAGATGCCCCCATCTTAGGTCATAATTTTGGATGTGGGTCGCATCCATTTCATATGGAGGGAGATGCTGACAGAAATGAAGATGTAGATGAAGACGATGATCAAGATGGAAATGCGAGAGTACATGGAGATGAAGAAGAATCTGAAGAAGGTGGGGGAAGATTATGTGATGGAGATGAAGATGAAGGTGGGGACGAGAAAGAATAACCATCACCTCAATTCATTCACTTCATGTGGAAGAATTGAGGATGAAGGTTCAAATCATGAACCTCACGATCCAGAAAGGAAGGGAGAGGCGCAATGATGAAGATGTGGTGAGGGAGTGATGATAGAGATCAAGGAAGGCAACAACTTACTCTTAAGGAGCAATACCTATTATAAGAAAGTCTAAAATAGAAAGGGAAAGGAGACTAATAATAAATAATTAGATTGTTTGTATATGGGGAAGGGCTGAAGGGGGTTGGCTATTATAAATAGGAGGTGTTATGTTTAGTGGAGCAGACTGGCATTAGGCCTAATTGGGAAAGATGAATTAACAGTAAAGAAAGATTAGGTACAAAGGCAGTTAGAGAATGCCAGCTCCCAAGTCCGAAAATCCAAGATAATATCAACCTGCTTCACTGAACATAACACCTCCTATTTATAATAGCCAACCCCCGATCCCATATACAAACAATCTAATTGTTTATTATTAGTCTCCTTTAATTTCCCTTTCTATTTTAGACTTTCTCATAATAGGTACTACTATCCTTAGCAGTAGGCTGTTGCCTTCCTTGATCTCTATCAGGTAATTTAGATATTAGATTTATTTTTTATTATTCATATTTAATTTAGTGGCTGTATTTAGTAAGAAAGGGGATGTGAATAGAATTTTCCATTCAAAAGTACATCCATTCTCTTCGTTTCATCACATCTTAGGTTAGATTCTTCTGTTTTTTTTATTTTATTTAAAAAAAGAATTTAAAATTACACTTCGAAATTATAGTGTTGGGATATTTTTACTTGGACTGTAATTTGCTGGTGTAGTCTTATCTGGTCGGATCCGTTTAAGTTTGATCTGGCCTAATCTGAATTAGTCTGGTAAATATTTGGTCTCTTTGTATTTATAACTACAGAAATTTGGTCAGAAATTTGGTCTAGTCTGTTTAAGTCTATTTGGATTGGTCAAGTCTGGGATTGAAAACAGTTCAAATAAAAGCATTCTTATACTACGAAAGCATAGTAATGTTACTCTCTTAGTCCCATTTTGTAAGACACTTTTCTTATTCACTTGGTCAACACAAATCACTTATAATCTCTTACTTTATATATCAAATTTTTATCAAATTTGATTCTGGTTTTTTGCAACTTTGTAAAACTTTTAATATAGTTTATGAATAAGTAATAGTAATTTTTTTCTAAAAATAATTTGAGTGCAGACAGAGATCCGTTTGCTTAATCTTTGGTCAAACATCGTCAATCGTAAAGTGTCTTACAATTCGGGACGGAGGGAGTAGTAAATATTTATATCAATGGTAAGTTTATATTAAGTATTAGTAAATATGTGTAAAATATATAGTAATATATTTATCATATTTATATGTATAACATACACAATTTTAGCATAATATATTTTATACTGGTATTCCTAGCAATACCAGTATAAAATGTAATCTATGAATATTTATTGGGAGATTTCCCAAAATGGGAGTAAATGAAGTTTTGAGTTCCAAAATAGGATTATTATGTTTTTTTTCCCGAAATAAGACTAACATGTTAGTATTTACTGTCATCTTGTAAACATAATTGTCAAATAGTTGCAATATAGTGCATTTTATATGACAGTATTTATTATAATTAATGACAGTAATTTTCAATCATGGCAGTATTTTTTATACATGACAGTAATAACTCCTATTTCGGGAAGAAAAACATAGTAGTCCTATTTTGGAATTTCAAACTTCATTTACTTCTATTTAGGGCAATTTCTCATATTTATTCAATTTGTAAAGCAGTCTTATAAATAATCTTATAAAGTTAGTTTATAAAGTAAATTTGTTAATATAAGTAAATTTAGTAATGTAAGTGTGTGAATATAGACTAATTCATACGAAATTAATCTTATATTATTGTTAATAATATCAGGTTACTAAATTTGTTTATAAACTTGTTAGTTTCTTTCATTAGTTTCTTTCACCTATTATTATTTGAGTAAATTTCTTTCACCTATTCGTAGGAGTATTTTAGATGGAATTTAGTAATTTTAGATGGAATTTAGTATTTCAGATGGAATTTAGAGTGAATTTATTACGGAGTAATTTTTGCCCGATATCGGATCTGCTTCTACGCTGCGCACCAGAAGCAACTGCAGCTGACCAACTCTCTCTCTCTCTCCTGGTACGGGAGGTTGGGAGAGATATTTGGTCTAGGGCAAAAAATAACCGTATGGGCAAAATTGGGATGCAAATTTCTATATGTTTCATAATAAGATTAAATTGATCCTATTTGAGGAAAAAAAGATAAGAAGTCCTATTTTTGCATTTCAACCTTGTTTTAGTCCTATATGGGACAATTACTATTATTTATTCTATCAATATAAAAATTGTAAATTACATAAAAATAAAAGTTACTACTAATAACCAGTAAAACTATATATCCCAATCATGCAAATATTTATAAAAGACATAATAGATCAATATATATAGCTACATTATAATAGGTAATGAATGTGTAAAGGCATTTTTATAAACTAAATTAAGCATAACACATAAATTAACTTTCTACCTCAAGAAAACCAAAGACAATCGACGATATTATGATTAATGCTAAATGATTAACAAATAAATTTTCATATTTTGATATGTTCGGTTTATTCGGTTCGGTTCATTTTGAAGGGTAAAAACCAAAACCCAACTAAACAACTACAGAGTTTTTTAAATTCGGTTTCAGTTTTTAGCGGTTCGATTTAATCTGATTACAGCCCAATTTATTTTGATTCGGTTTTTTGTTTGTGATTTTTCGGACCCAGTCCTAGTACTTACACCTCTCTAATGCAATATCATCAAATTCTAGTACAACATGAAGCCGTTTTAATAAAACATCGTCAAATCCTAGTGCAACTTGAAATTGTTTTAGTGCAACTTGAAATTGTTTTAGTGCAACATACCAAAATATAAATCCTAGTGCGGCTAAGTTAGTGCAAAATAATAGTGCAATATTAAATCCTAGTGCAAAATATCATATGATTTAAGTCCTTGTGCAACATTAGTGCAACACGAGTGCACATTAGATGACGTTTTAGTGCAACATAAAAAAATTTAAATCTCGTGAAACAGTAGTGCAACATTATAAAATTTAAATTCTCATGCAACATTAGTGCAACATTATTAGTGCAACATTAGACGATTTTGTGCAACTTTAGATGTTGTTTTAGTGCAAGTGCTACACTAAACGCTGTTTTAGTGCAACATTTTAAAATATAAATCTTCGTGCATCATTAGTGCAATATTAGTGCAAAATTATGTGCTCTTTTTAATAATAGAGTAGTCAGGTTATTTATCTTTTTAATTTGTTATCTTTTTTATCTTACGTATTTTTTTTATTGTATTTTTTTTATCTTATCTTTTTTTTAACCCTTTTTAGCTTCGATTTCGTTTAAATATAATTGTATTCACAAATACCTTGATCAAAGTATGTGTATAGATACTGGATTCCTCTCAGGTTAATTCGAAA